AAATAGAAATTGAAAGAATCCACCAATCACCCCCTGAAAGAGATCCCAAAAGTAAAACTGCCAGGAATATTATAGCCAAATTCCACAGTTCTTAGGTCAAGGAGAAAATATTACAAGCAGCCAAAAAGAAATATTTCAAGTATCATGGAGCCAGAGTCAGTAACACAAGATTTAGCAGCTTCTACATCAAAGGATTGGAGGGTTTGGAATATGATATCCCAGAGGGCAAAGGAGCTAGGATTACAACCAAGAATCACCTACCCAGCAAAACTGAATATAATCCTTCTGGGGAAAAAAATGGACATTCTATGAGATAGAAGACTTTCAAGCATTCTTGAAAAGACCAGAGCTGAATAGAAAATTTGATCTTCAAATACAAGACTCAAGAGAAACATAAAAAGGTAAACAGCAAAGGGCAATCACAAGGGACCTAATAAGGTTAAACTGTTTACATTCCTACATGGGAAGATGATATTTGTAATTCATAAGACCTTTCTCATTATTAGGGTAGTTAGAAGGAGTATATATAGAGAGAGGGCACATGTATAGTGTGACTATAAAGGGATGATTTCTAAATAAAATCAAGGGGTGAGAGAGGGATATACTGGGAGAAACAGAAAAGAGAGAGGTAGAATAGGGGTAAATTATCTCACATAAAAGAGGCAATAAAAAGCTTTTACAGTGGAGGGGAAGAGGGGGGAGGTGAGGCAGAGTGAGTGAACCTTACTCTCATCAGAAATAGCTCAAAGAGGAAATATACATGCGCAATGGGCTATAGAAATCTATCTTACCCTACAGGAAAGCGGGAGGGGACAGGGGTGGGGGTTTGTGATAGAAGGGAGGGCAGATTGGGGGAGAAGCAAAACACTTTTGAAGAGGGACAGTGAAAGGAGAGAGAGAATAGAATAAAGGTAGGGAGTAGAATAGGATGGAGGGAAATACAGTTAGCAATAGTAACTGTGAAAGAATTTTTTGAAGCAAGTTTCTCTGGTAAAGGCCTCATTTCTCAAACATATAAAGAACTGAACCAAATTTATAAAAATAAGAGCCATTCCCCAATTGATAAATGATCAAAAAGTATGGTTATTTTTTAGCTAAAGTAATCAAAGCTATCTGAAGCCACATGAAAAAATACTCTAACTCACTATTGATTGGAGAAATGCAAATTAAAAGCAATTCTCAGGTACTACCTCCTATCTGTTAGACTGGCTAACAGGACAGAAAAGGTAAATGAGAAATGTTGGAAGGGATGTGGGAAAAATGAGACATTAATGCACTACTGGTGGAGTTGTGAATTGATTGAACCATTCTGCAGAGTAGTTTGGAACTATGCCTAAAGGGCTATAAAACCAAGAATACTCTTTGACCTAGCAATACCACTACTAGGTCTGTATCCCAAAAGAGATAAAAAACAAAAAGGAAAAGGACCTATACGTACAAAAATATTTATAGTAGCTCTTTTATGGAGACAAAGAAATAGAAGTTGAGGGGTTGTCCATCAATTGGGAAATGGCTGAATAAGCTGTGGAATGTGATTATGATGGAATTCTATTGTACCATAAGAAATGGTGAGCAGGATGCTCTCAGAAAAACCTAGAAAGACTTGCATGGGCTGATGCCAAGTGAAACGTACTGTGTACAAAGAAACAGCAATATTTTAAGATGTTCAGCTGTGAATAACCACAATGATCCAAGACAACTCTGATGGACTTATGATGAAAAACGCTATTTATCCCCAGAGAAAGAATTGATAGTGCCTGAATACAGATTGAACTTTTTTTTAACTTTCTTTATTTTTCTTGAGTTTTTTGGTCTATGTTTTCTTTCACAACATGAATAATAGTTTTGCATGACTATACATGTATAACCTGTCTCAAACTGCTTGCCTTCTCAATGAAGGGGGGGTGGGGAGAGAGGAAAGGAGAGAATTTGGAACTCAAAGTTTTAAAAACAAATGTTAACTTGTTTTTACATGTAACTGGGGAGAAAAAATAAAGTTAAAAAAAATCTGCTATGGCTATGGTAAGCTATTGCTATTTTCAACTTCAAAAAGAAAAAGATAAATGGTAGTTGCTAAATCATTAAAATAAACAAACACAAAAAGATGGAAAAACAATAAAATGCTTAGGCTTTGATAGACTAACAGGAAAATCCTTTTGCCTGACACCAGGCATTGAAGAAAACCAAAGGTGTTCTTTATTCTTTATGCCAATTAACAGTTCCATAATGAACCCTTCTTAAAATGTTAATTTACCACGGCCTACAAAGAGAGTTTTTAGGTGCACAGAGCCTGAACCCTGTCACAGCTGCCAGATTCCGTTTCTACAGCAACTGTCAGCATTCTGTTAAGCTTCCCTGCGTGAGTTGAAGAACAATCCAACATCCAATTCCAAAGATGAGCAGCTCCATAAATGTATGCAAAAGGCAAAGAATGTAATTACACTTTCCTCAAAAGGATGCCAAGAACAACTACAAATCTTACCAGCAAAGAATAGCTATTTGGAAGAACGAAAGCAAAGGATACACCATACACTCCCTCACACAAGGCACCTCCCACACTCAGTTTCACTGCTTCTCCTAGGAAAGGGGAAGGTCTAGACTTTGCAGCTCCAAGGTTCAGAGCCAGAATCTGGAATTCCATCGTGAGCAAGGCCTTCCAACATTTGCATGTAATCTTGTTTCAGTCACCACTTTTCTTTGCTTTCAGTTCTCCAGGGATGAAGAAGGCTATATTGGGAAGAGCACTGATGTAGGAGTCTTGTGTCTTGACATGGCTAATCCACACTCAGCCTTTATAGCCTCCTCCTCTGCAATGCTGGCAAATGCCACCTCCCCTACCAAACTCACAGAAGCGTTTCTAGAACTAAATAAGATAATGTAATTGCAAGTGCTCTTAAAAGGATAAGACACCATGCAAATATAAGGGATGTTGCTGTTGCTGCTTCTCTACCTTCACAACAGCCAGAACTTCCTGTGAAAGCTTTAGATTGTGAGAAGTTTTGTTTGTTTTTGAGCAGTAAACTGGGAAAGAACACTTATTCCTGGTTCTCTTAAGCTAAAAGGCTCAGAGTAACATTTCCAATTAATGAAATTGTAGTATGTTATAGTCAACTACTACCTATAGCTTAGTTTTTGGATTCACTTCAAACTTTTCTTTTTCTGTACTCTCAGATTTAGTCCAATAATAAGGTGGGCTTACAGACTGCTTTCCTGTTTTCATGAAGTACTGTAGCCCTCTCAGTCTTTCAATAAATAACATCCAGAATAGCAACCACTCAACAATTTCCAAAACCTACTGTACAAATCACAAATCTCAATTTTCCTCCAGAATGGCTAAATTTTATGATAGTCTTATTTCTCTCTCAGCTCTTTGACTGCCTTAGGAAAGGTATGACTACCAGATTGGCCATTTTTCAACGTGAAGATGTGGAAGCTTTCACAGAATTTCAGCCTCTAAAATTTGGAGAGGTCCTTAGAGGCCCTTTAATCCAGCCTCTACAAGATGAAGAATCCCTTTTAGAGCAGCCCCAACAAAAAGTCCTCCAGCCTCTGCTTAAAGACCTACTCAATGAGGGGAAACTCACCATTTCCCAGCAAGAAGACCAGTGCCCATTCTACTTTGAGATAGCTCAAGTTATCAGGAAGTATTTTTCTACATGGAACTGAAACTTGCCTTCCTGAAACTTCTACCTGACTCCTAGTTTGGCTTCTTACAGCCAAACATAGGAAGTCTAATCCCTCTTCCACATGATAGCCCTGCAAATACTTGGAAATTGCTATCATATCCCCTTTAAGTCTTCTCTTCTACAGGATACACATTCCCAGTTCCATCAGATGATCCTTATATGGCATAGTCTCCATTCTTTTCACTAACCCAACTGCTCTCTTCTACTTTCAATTGGCAGAGGCTGCTTGGGTTTTTGGTAGGACAATGTTATTTTATCCCTTGAATGTACTACAAAAGTAATAATTAAAGTAAAAGTAATAATCAAATTACTATTAACTTAATTATTTAAATGAATTAATAAATTAATATTAAAAGTAATAATTAAAATAAGAACCAAGACATGAGCATCACTTTGTAGGGGACAAGGATCTATCCAAAAGGACATTTGGAAAGTTTAGCCTTTGGATTCATTCACTCTATTGTTCTGTCACATTTTTTATTCTTTCTCATGCAACATGAGAACCAGTTTTGTAGACAACTATGTGTGTCTATGTTCTAACCTAACAATAACAATTCACAGAGGAACAACAGTAAGAAAGAGCTATTTTTGTTTTATTCATATTTATTCTCTAAGAAAGGCAGATTGTAGGGAAGACAGATAAAAGCTTCAAGTTCAAGTAAACATTCTATGATAACCTACAAGAATAACCAGCCATCATCTATTAACTTTCTTATTCTATCTCTCTGCATCTCACAAAGGATAAAGGTGAAGAATGGCAAAGGCTGAAATCTTGTTATATAGAGGACATAAGATCTTAAAGGGAAGAAACTCCGATATCATCAGGAAGCAGAGAAAGTGATGAGTTGTAGGAGAGCAATTTCTTTATAATCCATTAGGTAATTGCACTGCAGGAAAAACGAGCTATCAATTATGAGTTACTGCCTTAAAAGCATGGTGAGAGAGTGGGAGGGAGATTAAATACGGTGAAAACTTGACAGTGACTAATTTTCTTAGCAATTTAATAACTGTACCTCATATTTAAGACTAGAAGGGGAAAAGAAGATTATCTTTCACTTTAAGACTTGAAACAAAGCCTAGATACTACACTGTATATTTATTCAGTAAGACTAGATTTCATCAACGTCATCTAAAAATCACATCTTTACTCCCTCCCATTCCCCATCACATTAAGGTCCATAAATGGCACAAGTTCTAGAATAGTTCACTCATCACCATTCCATTCAACATGTACATTCTTGGCTTATTTCCAATGAGTCAAAGGATCTTCCTTTACCCTCCCCAACTTCCAAAAATAGCAAGTGGAGCACCAACCTGGAACATAGTTGATTCCACAGTCTATTACTATAGCTCCAGGTTTAATCCATTCTCCTCTCACCATTTCAGGCTGTCCAGTTGCAACCACAAGAATATCAGCTTTATTCACCTGTCAAAAAAAGGGGGGGAAAAAACAAAAACAATCATAGCAGTAAATAGAAATTGATACTAGAAATGCAGTCAAGAAGTGGAAAGGGCATTGGGATGGGAAGATAACATCAGGAATCTTGTCTTTTCCTCTAAGCTATCTCAGACAAGCCTTGTAAGTCACTTAACTTCTTAGGTTTCAATTTCCTCATCTATAAAATAGGGATACGACCATGTTCTTTGTAGGGACATTGTGAAAGAAATTTACTGGGGATATTTGAGGGGAGAGGTTGAGAGGAAAGCCTTACAAATGAGCCAAAGACTCATTACTAAAAATACCAAGTGAAGCTATTTCTGATATTTATCTCCTTCAATTCTACAAGACACATCTCTGTTCACAGAAGCATTAGCCTCATCTTATTATGAATACAAAAATCTGGCTGAACATCTTGATTTAGACATTTGCCTATGATCACAAAGACATTAGAATTTATTCTTGTTCCGTGCTAAGGATTTCAGTGTAGTCAGAAAACAAACTGCCACTGTCCAAGTGCTACTTTGTGACATCCAATTCCCTGCACCCTTATGACATAGCACACTTTTGGACAGCTAACACTGATAAACCTTAGGTATACACTATTCCCTGAAGATCTTACCTCCTCAGACAACTGGATAGTCTTTGAATGGCATGTGGTCACTGTGGCATTATTCCACAGAAGCAAGTCATGCATTGGTGCACCAACAATCTTGCTACGTCCAACCACCACAGCATGCCTACCGGCAATTTGTACTCCTGAAAGAAACCCCAGAATCGATCTCAAACACAGAGGCAAGAGGAATTTTTTGTTCATAATGCTACCTATATTTTACTTGGGTCAGAGGGAATAAGTGTACACGTATGGGCTTCTATCATAAGTCAGAAACTTTTTAAGTTTCTTCACCTCCCTTCATTATTGGGTGTAAATTCTCTGCTTTTAAGTTTGAGTAACAAATAGAGACTTGGACATGCACTCCTTCTTGCTGTGGGTTTTCTGAAAGCAGCTTAAGCAAAATCCATTCACTGAGTCATAGCAGAGTGGGAAGAAAACCCATACACATACATTAAAAAAAAAAAACCACAACTTGACACACAGCTAAACAGCTAAATGGAAGAAGGTACCAGACTAAATTACAAGAAACAAAAGTTATAAGCAACAAAGCTGGGGTGGGGTGGGTGGGGTGGAGAGAGAAGGGGAGAAAAGGGAGACAGAAAGCAGAGAAAGATTATTAGATTAATGAGTATGTAGTTTCATTTTCCTTAACTTCAAGAAAAATGATATACTGGAAGAGTGTTAAGAGTTCTCCTTGCCCAATTTCCCTTGAAGTTGGGGGTCTGGGCAGAGGCTATGGCTGGAAAATGAGAAGGGTCCAGAGATTCAGAGCTGGAAGGGATCTTATATCTAGTGTAACACCTTCACTTTGCAGAGGAGGAAACCGAGACCCTGGAAGGTGAGGTAACCCATAGGAGCCCAGATCCCCCAACAAACATCTCCCCAAAACTAAAAATGTCCCGTTATCTGGTAAAATAAGGAGAATCACATACAGAGTCCTGCACCAGGCCTATGAGTGCACAGAAGCACTGACAAAATCCTGCAGGAACCTTGAAATGGACCAGCTGGGACAGGTCAAGAGAGCAGTACAAAGCAGACTTGGGCAACTGGAAAGGAATAGTGTGGCCTCCACCTAGGAAGGGGCCACTCCAGCCCACTGGCAAGAGAAGAGCCCTGAACAAAGAACAGTTGGGGGCAACCCCAAAGTCTTCTGGTAGGGACTCAGTGTGGGAAAAGCTATAGCAGCACCTAAGGCAGGGAGAAAGACCAGAGCCATGTGGCAATAGGGAGTCCTCACAGTAGTTTAGGTAGGAGTGCTGGCAGTATGCCCCTGGGCTTGGCAGCAAGGGGAAAGGCAAAGCCCAATGCTGGGGCAGCACTGGAATCCCTTGGGGGAATGTTCTAATCTTGTTCACCACATATGGAATCAGGTGAGGCCTGCTCATTCCCTTCAGGAGTGCAAGAACAGTGTCTGACCCAAGCATAGAACACGCCCCCTCCCTGTCCCCAACCAAGACCCTGAAACAGTTAATATGAACAAACCAAGAAATCCAACAAACATTATGAGGAAATACCTTGGACAGAGACACAAGGTGGGGTGTTAAACCCAAGGAAGTGAGCAACCTTACAACAAATAAGGCATCAACCCCTTAGAAGACATGATGGAAAACCTTTTCTAAGAACTAAATACCATGAAAATTAGAAAACATCAAACAGAAAATGACTCAATGAAACAAGAAAAATTAAAACAAAACCACAAAATGAGTGGAAAAAAAAACCAAACAAAGTAAAAAAAAAGAAAAAAAATTGAATATCATAACAATTGACCAGGCAAATAGGTCAAAGAAAGCTAATCTAAAATTATCAAACTTTCTGAAAAATCATGACACTATCTCTCCAACAAAAAAGTCTTGCTACCGTATATCAAGAAATTATAAATGAAAACTGCCCAGAATTCTTAAAACCAGAAAGCAAAGTGGAAAGAGAAAGAATCTACCAATCACCAAAAATCACCAAATGGCCAAAAAATAGAGTTCAAATACCAAGGAGCCAAAGTCAAGATCATACAAGATTTGGCACCTGCCACTTTGCAGAAGAAGTGAGTTTGGAATGATATCCCAAAATATAAAAGACAAAGGCTTACAATCAAGAATAAAATATTTGGCCAAACAAAGTATAATCCTTTGGGGGAAAAATGGACCATCCATGAAATAAGAGTATCTCCAAGAATTTCTGATAGGCCAAACCAGAGGAGATATTTTGAAATAGAAACATAAAAGACATTCTCATACACTGTAATATTTAGAAAAGGGGTTTCAAAGCATGATTCAGGTGTAAGTGACCTGCATTACTCAATCAATACATTAGGTAACTAACAGCTGACCTATTTCATGTGCAATTTATGTTATGCTTCTCTAATTGACAGTAAATTAATTTTAGACAGGAAATTTAAGTATTAGAGTCAGCTTAGCAGACTGAAAACTAACTTTGGAGTAAGGAAAATCTGGGTTCAAATCCAACCTCAAATACATACTAGCTGTCTGATTCTGGATAAATCACTTAATCTCTCTGTGACCCTGGAAACCAAGACTATTGAGCTGCAGAAATGTTGCATCAGGAGCAGGGAGTTTCCTCACCAGAATTTCTCTACATCAGTGAAACTACAGGTAAGGAAGAAAAAATTAATGTCCTAAAAGATAAATGGCAATAAGACTTGAGTTTTTGTTGCCAGTTACAACCAAGCACCACTTATACTTGGGGAAAAAAAGCTGGTCAAATAAAACTTGCCATATAAGATATGACTGCACCAACTTCTTTAAATAGTAAATAACTTCTTATACATATAACATTTGATTTATAGGAAAGTGCATACAAGGCTAAAGCATTTTCAGCAATAAGTTTTAAAAATATATACGAAGGGCAGTTTTCTGAATACCACAAAAGCACATAGCTAAAACCAAAGTATTTGCAATGGAGAAATACCTGAAGCTTTCCCCATAAATGCAAGAGTAAGTCAAGGATACTCACTTTCTGATTCCTTTCATTTCATAGTTCTAGAAATGCTAGCACTCACAAAAAGATCAGAGAAAAATATTAAAGGTATAAACATAGGTAAAGAGGAAACAAAATTACTTCTGTTTCCAATGTACTTCTTCATGAAACTAGACAAATTAATTACAATAAGCAGTAATCATAAAGAAACTATTTGATACTTAAAAAAAAAAAACAAACAGATCAGTGGAATAGATTAGATAAGAACAGTAGCTTATAAATACAAGCATTATATATCTATAGTGCTTTAAGGTTTGCAAAGTGCTTCACATATAGTATCTGATCTGATCCTCACAACAATCCTAAGAGGTAGGTGCTATTATTATCCACAAGTTACAGCTGAGAAAAGTGAGGCTGAGAGTTAGTAAGTGATGGAGGCAAGATCTGAAATGAGTTTTCCTGACTCCAAGTCTAGCTCGCTATATAGTACACTATTTTGTCTCAGAAACATCAAACTCAATAACCCACAGTGCTTGATAAACCTGAAATTATACATTGCATGGGCAAGAACTCTCTATTTAACAAGAATTAATGGGAAAGTTGCAAAGTACGATAAGAGAAATTAGAATCAACTAAATTAGAAATTAATATCTTAAGCCATATACAAAGAGCTCAAAATGGATATGCAACCTAAATATTAAAAGTTGTGATAAATATGGAAATATGTTTTGTATGATTACATATGTATAACCTATATCAACTGCTTACTGTCTGGGGTGGGGGAAGAGATGAAGGAAGAGGATATGGCACTCAAAAAATGAATGCTAAAAATTGTTTTTACATGTAAATTGGGAAAAAAAAATATTATTTAAAAAAATTACCTTCCATTTGTTCTGTATATGTATCTATATGTATCTAGCTATTTACATGTTGACTCTCCCTTTAGAATGTAAGTTTCATAAGGCCAGGAACAATTTCTTGCCTTTCTCTGTATTACCCAACCCTTAGCACAGTGTCTGACATGTAATAAGTACTTAATAAGTGCTTGGTGACTAACTGATGAATGAATGTAAAGCCAATAAAAAAAATTACAGATAACTAAATAAAAGAATCCATTACTCTAAAAGATTAAAACAAAGATTTTTAATTTGTCATAAACAAACAGATTTCCAATGGTTATGATACATACAAGCTTGAGGAAGCATGTTTTTTATATAAACTTTGTAAGCTCTCCAGCAGTACCCAGTACAGAAAAGGTCCTTAAATTAATCCATGCTGTCTTACGTGGAATCAATGAATAGAAAGTATAAACATTAATAAAAGACGATAAAAAAGGGGAGGCTCTGAAAAATTAGCCTTACCTGTCTTTTTGATAAGTTCCAAGCATCCTTTAGGTGTACAGGGAATGAAACAATCCTCTAAGTCACCTCTAGCAAGCTTCCCAGCACTGACGCTAGTCAAACTGAAACATTAAATTAAAGGCAGAATGAGTGAGAACAAGGCAATTTAAACATTGGTATGGAGCTTCCCTGAGTTACCAATACATGTTTTAAAGATACAACAGCTTTAAAATGAAGTGACTCAAAAAGTCAAACACACCCATCCACATCCTTTTCGGGAGCGATGGTATTTGTCACCAGCTCAGTGCTAGTGTTCTTTTCTGCATCCAAAGGTAACTGGACCAGGAGTCCATGTACAGTAGGGTCTTCATTCAAAGATGTGATGCACTTTAAAACCTAAAAACAAATTTTACAAGTTAAAGAAGGTAGAGGGTAGGAATGGAGACTATTGTAAGGCAAAACATATCCAACCTCATTTCCCCTCTAAGAGTTTTAGTTCAGAGAGTTCAAAGAAAAAACCCACTATCATATAGGTCCTGCATATAACTTTCTTGTTAGACCAAAACACCTCCCAATAATATCTCTAGATACTAGAGAGGTATGTTGAGGTAGTAGTTAAAGAAAGGTTTGCAGGCAGTGGGTGGGAGAGGTGGCATGGGAACCGCTGGGGATAAATGGTCTAGATCTGTGATTTCATTGTTGTAAGGCATTCTCAGTGAAGAAGCTCCTACCAATGCAGATAGTTAGATAGAAGAATGCAACTTCTGCACTTTATAGTTCTAGAGAGATGTCTGGGACACTGAGAAGTTAAGTAACTTGTCCAAGGGCACACAGTTAATGCATCAGAGATAACACTTGAACCCAGGTCTTCCTGACACTGAGGTTGGTTCTCTAATCAGTACGTTGCTCTGCTTCTCAGCCTTCCTTCTTACTCAGCCATTTAGGGCCCTGTTATGAGCTTATTTTTATTTCTTATTAATGGAATGCTTTTGTTCACAAGTCAGTTGAATAAGCATTTATTAAGTGCCTACTACCAAACAATCAAAAAGCATTTATTAAAAATCTACTCAAAGAAAGTTTGTAAAGGCAAAAATGACATCGTTTCTGCCCTGAGAGTCTTCTTTCTATAGAAGGAGACAACAAATATACATATAAATACATAAAACAGATACAAGGTAAATTTTTTTGGGAGGGGGGTTATTAGCAGCCAGGATGATCAGAAAAGGCCTCATGTAGGGAACGGCATTTGGGCTGAGCTTTAAAGGGAATTAGGGATTCAAAAGGTAGAGGTGAGGTGAGGAGGAAATGGATTCAAGGCCTGAGGGTCAGCCTGTGCAAAGGTACGGAGATGGGACGGAATGTCATGGATGAGGAATAGGACAGCAGGCCAGTCTGGCTGGAATGGAGACGAGATGAAGGCAGGAATATCAAACCAGCCTGGAAAAGTCAGCTAAGTGCTTTAAATTCCAAACAGAAGTTTGTATTTTATTCTAGAGACAAAACAGGTTTGTTGAGTAGGGAAGTGACCTGTGTTTGAGGAAGGTAATTTTGGCACTTGTGCTGGGAATTAATGAGAGAGGGGAAAAAGAATAGAAGCTGGGACAGCGATTAGGAAGACATTCCATACTCCAAGTATGAAGGTCTGATTATAGAATTTACCCCTTGAGAGTAAAGGAAAGGAGATTTATAAGAAACAATGGATTCAATATAGATATTAAATTTTTTATGTAATTTCATATGTAGAACCTCTTATGTAGAACTAGGTTATCTGTACCTCTTCTTATGTATTTGAGTTATTTTATGTGATGACTGTATGCTCTATGAGGACAGGGGTCAGGTATTTATTCTTTGTATTTCCCTTACTTACTAGCACAATGCTCTAAACACAGCAGACACTTAATAGATGTGTGTTGAATCACCTGCATCACAGGATTACACCATTTATTCTGGGTCTCTTCCCTTGAAGTAAGCAGCCTTGAATATGGGGCAAGGTATGTACCTATCACACACAAACCCCTTAGCCCTGAAAATGTCACAAATCATAACCACGATATGGAACCATAAGAAGGTTTGTTCCACATGAACCCAACAGCTTACCTCTGCCTCAGTTGAGTTTCTTGGTAATTTAATATGTGTGGCTCTGATTCCAATCTGTAAGAATGAAAATGTAAAACATGTTTAATGATCTAACTAGCTAGAAAAGTGGGAGGACTGAGAGAGGTATTTCTTGGGTAATTATGACTAGATATAGGTTAAAAGGTATTGTTTGCATTAAATTCCTATGTTCTAAAGGAATTTGTAGCATTCCAGTGATTCTGAAAGTGACGGACCGATCCCTGGGAGTACCCGGCACTTTCAAGCAGTCCACAAAGTTAAAACTATTTTCATAATAATACTAACACTTTTAATTCCTAATATGGTCAACAATGATAGGATATAGTCTATAAGCTCTTCAGGTGGGGTCCTCAATATTTTTTAAGAGGGTAAAAAGATCATGCAACCAAAAAGTTTGAGAACCACTGCCATAAAATTACCCATTTATTTCCCCACAATATTTCAGATTTATTGTGTTCCTTTAATTTTTCCATGCTAGCTTTCTGTTTAAGAAGAAAAGCAAGTAGATAAAAGACAGAGGCTCTAGTTAGAAGCCACGTATTTATAATTTGCAATACAAGTCAAATTAGGATAAAGGCATGATAATTTTAATTGGCGCAGAAGGGAGAGAAGTGGTGATGGGATTACTGTGCTAGCTAGCAGTACCACAGTAGATTTTACCTCCTCAGCAGCTTTTAGCTTCATACTTATATAAAGATTTGAATCAGCTCTATCTCCAACCTAGAACAAGCAAACACAAAATACTTAATGAGGTATAATACATAGGAAAGCCATTAAATTTTAGTTAGATAAAGTAGCTTTTTTTTTTTTAATAGAAATGAACCTTATTACAGCTAACTTTGAGGAATGTACCTAATGTATCTAGGAGACTTTAACATAGAAATACATAACCTTTGGAAATCATTAATTAGATATAGCTTATAGTCCTGTGCTATCATCTAAAATCTGAGTAAACAAAGATAACAAGGAACAAAAAAACCAGGGATCTAACATTCCCTCCTCCCTTCAGGGCTGAGGAAACTAGAAGGATTGCTTGCACTGCTTCTAGAGCAGTCTTAAAAGATCTATTAAACTCAAACTTGTTCCTAAGACAAAGAACTGTGCAGCTCTTGTTGGCAATAAACATTTGCAGAGAGTGAAACAATTTCTTTAGTATTTTGTAATATAAAATCGATTTTACACAGGAAGACTTATACATGAAGTAAGCAAAACCAGGGAAATAATATATACAATGATTTCAATAATGTAAATGCAAAGATTTGCACTGCAACTTATCTGAGTTCATCTGCTTTAGTTTTTTTAAATTTACATTAATTATAGTTGTCATTGTGTATACCAGAGATGTCAAACTCCTTGCCCGCAAAACTTCAGCAGGAAGCAGAATAAAATGTAATCAGAGAATATTCAACAAAGATAATGTTAATTTGTGGTTTTCTAAGTCAATATGTGGCTCCCAGGGATTCATTTCTACCACTGGTTTGCCTGGTTCTGCACCTGTTCATAGAAATTTTCCTGTGTTTCTCTGAATCCCTCATATTCATCCTTTTTCACAGGGACAAAAGTGTTCCAGCACACTCTCCTCTATGCACTGTACAACTGAGCTACTCTGGTCTTCTTTCTCTTCCTCAAAAACAACAGGTCATCTCCAGACTCCTCACCTTTTCACAGGCAATCTCCCATGCCTGGATTTCTCTTTTTCCTCACTGGATTTCACAGGAAGCCTTTCCTAGTCCTCCCCATTGCTAATGCTTTCCTCCTCAAGAAATTAACTTTCATTTACATTATACGTATCTTGTATGCAAAAATTTTTTGCATATTTTCTCCATTAAAATGTAAGCTCTTTTAAGGCAGGAACCATGTTTTTCTTCCCTCTCTTTTTCTTTTTTGGTATCCCCAACACTTAGCATAATGCCTGGAACATAGCAGCATTTATTAATAAATGCTTGTTGACCAACTGACATTCACCTATACCACAATTTACTCAGCCATTCTCCATTTTATGTGAACTCATTTTATTTCTAGTTTTTTGCTATCACAAAAAATGAACCACTACCTAATGTGTAAGACCAAATCTCAGCGTCCCAGGAAACTCTAACCTGTATTGGTATAGGGAATTCCTCACCAGGAGTTCCCTATACCAATGGAATCCCAGGCCCAGCTATAAAAAAGAACTGCTATTTTAAAATTCATGTTCCATGAGTCATCAGTAAAGAACCTGAGCAACTGCCTGTATAATGTACAACAAATATTAAGAATGGGGTCATGGGAGTTCTGTGATTGGATTGTGTTGGTTTTTATAGGAAAAGACAAGGAATACAATCTGACTGAAATACACACAATCAATATGCCTAAGACAATTTCTGTGGAAATCTGGCTCCCTTATTCAGATTCTAAGGAAAGACATGCTACTCTAAAAATGGGCATTATCACTGTCATTGTGTATTTTATTCTTGTGGGCAAAAAATGACTCAATATAGATCTTTTTTCTCTCTAGTCTGCTTTCATAGACTTTTTTATTTTACATTATTAAATATTAAATCCTGCAAATAAAAACAGCAAAAATAGAAGGGCTTTACATTTCAGGGTTGACCTATTAGATTAACCCTATTTGGTACAGCCTCCTTAGTTGCTACTATTCTCATGTAATAAAGTAGTGGTATAATAGAATAAAAAACAACATTGAATTTGTAGCCAGAATACCTGGGGTGAAGTTCTGCAAAGCTGCTTGTTTTTACAGCCATCTTACTCCTGAATAATGCATATAAAATTCAAATTTAATATCATTGATTGTAAATGAATCAAATATCCCTGAATTACTATAAATACCTCACATTTCAGTCTTATTGTAGGTCAACTGTTCATTCAGACTCACCACTACTAGCAAGCAGCTGTTTTCTCACCTACCTGCCTGGGAAACACAAACAGGCCATTCAAGAAATATATACAAAGCAAGAGTAAGTATTATTAAAAGAGCTAATTAACCTTATTTCCCCAATTCCTTGTCTAACAATCTATATTACAAACCACTATCCTCTGTGTTAGGAGAGAAAAACCTGAGGTAAATCCATTACAGATACATTTCCTGATAAATACCTGCAAAGCAGCCAAGCAGAAACAATGTTTTTTGCTTAATGAAAACACTGGAGGTTAACTTATCCAAACAAGGAGGGTACAGAAGGGTCAGAGAGATGCCTTTAAGCAGAGTATTGCTGTTATAGAAACCTGGATTTACTCATGACATGCTTTCTCTCTTTAACAACTCTCCCAGATAAACCAAGAAATAACCAATTCCTGGGTGTTCTTAGCACAGTTCTATAACATACCTTTGATTCTCACTCGGCAAGTTGTGAAAAAATAAAAAACAAAAAAACAAAAACAAAAATCACAGCAGAAAATATGTGCTGGGAATATAACCACAGGCCTTCAGATTGTCTTTCTTTGTCAGCAACTCCAACCTTTCTAATAGGAAATAATTTGCAACAAAAAGCAACAGTGGCAAGCTAATGGGAAGGAAGAAAATTATGTTACACAACATCCATTCCTAGCAAAGACTTCACAAGGAGTAAGATAATGTATGTGGAAGCTGAAAGTATGCATAGTGTGTGGTGAGGTAATATTACAATTTTGTAGAGTATTTAAAATGAAAACTGCTTATTTCCTATGGGTCAAATTATTTTAATGGAGACATCATAATACCTGTAAAATCTCCAGGCCTGGCCTGAAACCCGGGACTTGATCCCCCATTTGAGTAACTTGGCTCTTCAATCTCTCTCTTACTTGCCTAGGGAGAAAAATAAAATGTTAGCCCCTTAACTAAATTTTTTTTATTTTTTAAAAGTATTTTATTTTAGTTTTCCCCAGTAACATGTAAAAATAATTTTTAACATTCATTTTTGACAACTTTTGAGTTCCAAATTCTCTCCCTTCCTCCTTCCCACCCCCCTATTGAGAAAGCAAGCAGTTTGATAGAAGTTATATATGTATAGTCACATTAAACATATCCCTATTATTCATGTTGTGAAAGAAAACAGACAAAAAAAACCTCAAGGAAAAATAAAATTAAAAAAAGTATGCTTCAATCTGTATTCAGACACCATCAGCTCTTTCTCTGGAGATGGATAATCCTTCAGAGTTGTCTTGGATCGCTGTATTGCTAAGAACAGCTAATTCAAAGAAGATCATCTTACAATATTGCTGTTACTTTGCATCAACCCATGCAAGTCTTTTCAGGTTTTTCTGGGAGCATCCTGTTCATCATTTCTCACAGCACAATAGTATTCCATTACATTCATATACTACAACTTGTTCAGCCATTCACCAACTGATGGGCATCCCCACAATTTCTAATTCTTTGCCATCACAAAAAGAGCTACTATAAATATTTTTGTACATGTGGGAAAAAAGTTGACCTTCTTAAAATAAAGCCATTTTGCAATTAAAATGGGAAAGAAAAAGATCATTTAAGTCTGAGGGAAAGTCACATGGTCCAGGTGGTTGAGATACTAGTTCAGAGGCCATTTAATCTACATTTCTACAACACCCATCAAGGCCCTGGGCTGCTTTGTCAATATTTCTTGGGCTCCACTCTGGCAACACAGGTTAGAAGCAGGCAGCCATTAAGAGCCAGATTCATTGAATACCCCATTCCACTGTCCCAAACTGACAACTCAGCAACAAAAAACAACGACTGTCACTGAGAGGTAATGAAGGGAAAAGTGGTTTGATAGATGCTAGTACAATCCAAGCATCTCACAGCACAAGGTAAAAAGGAGGCAATGAAGGAATGAGGTAATTAATCCATCCTACAATCCTTAACCTATTAAGCACAATTAACAGTGGGAATATGTGATAAATGTTACTTCATAAAGACGTGAAACAGAATCATTAGCACAGATTTGGGGGAACAAAAGGTTCAAAATGTAGACTCAACTCCTAGTACCATCAGTAATCTGACTCAAAAGAGTCTAAGGACATTTTTCTAGGCTAGAACAGTAGATGAATGAGTGGCATTCACAATGTTACCCCAACCAATAAACCCCCCACCCCCAACCCAGCACCCTGGAAACTAATCAATATCTAAGCTGATGTTTAGGCTGCTCAAACTCTGGATAAAACATTTCACCAGGTGGAGGACCCCAGGACTAAACTGAGGCCTTGAACATCCTATTCACTTACCTTTCTCAACAGAACTCCTCCCATTCACTGATACAATACCTGAACTCATTTGCCAATAGACAGCAAACTTGCTCTGTGCATCCCGCCCCCCCCCATACCGATACTGTCCTTCCATTGCTAAACATCAGTAACTCCTGCTACCTATACCCTCTCATTCTCATCTACCTCAACAGTAGCCCTATGTCTCACTCAAGATCTACCTCAATCCTATCCTACTGCCAATAAACCATTTCAGATCTACCTGCCCCCTTCACTGTGCCCTCTGGAACTCTGGGTCAATAATTGACAAAATTCCCTAGATTTAAGACAACTTCTGATTCTACTTCCGTTTTCAGGCATTCACGGACACTTGCCTCCCCTAAGCATCCTTTTCACTACTAGCTGCATCTACTGTCATGATTCTCTGGAATTCTGCCCTCCTGGAAGAGGAGTCAGAATACTCTTCCACAGATGTTGGTGGCTGTTAGCAATAGACCCCATTCTCTGTCCTGGGCTCTCTTTTCTCTCTATTTTCTCTTACTTGGTGAGCTTATTAGCTCCAATTGGTTCAATTATCATCTCTGTGAAATCCTAATGCCTCTTTTGACCTCTGGTCACACATAAGCAATTGCTTACTGAGCATTTCAAACAGGATGTTCCATAAGCACCTCAAATTTAGCATATCCAAAAAAAAAAAAATTTCCCCCCCCCCCCCCCCCCCCGCTCTACCCTTTCCCTTAATTTCCCTAATATTGAGGGTACCACAATTCTAATCATCCATGTTTGCAATCTTGGGGTCACTTTCATCTCACATATCCAATCAGTGGACAGATCTTGTCATTTCTGCCTTTACATCTCTTGAGGATATGTCACTTTCTATCCACTCACATGGCACCAGTTGAGCATCTCATCACATCTTGTCCAGACTATTTCAATTGCCCCCTAACTGGCCTCCTTGTCTCAAGTCTCTCCCATTCCAATCCATTCTCCGAAGTCTCAGTGGAATGTCCCACAGATTTGTACTCAGACTCCACCTGTTCAATATTCTATCAATCACCTAGATGCAGGCATGGATGGCTGACTTGTTTACCAAACTTATAGAGGCACAAAGTTAGAGGGATAAGCTAATATGGTGGATGACATAAACAGAATACTCAAAGTTCTCGAAAGAATAGAGATTTGCAAACTATGGTGTGAGGGCCAAATCCAGCCAGTTGTTGAGACCTAAGAATGGTTTTTACATTTTTTAAATAAAATTTTATTGTATTTAAAAATGTAAAAACCATTCTTAGCTTGCTAACTATGCTGTCATCTTTGCTGACCTCTGGACTAGAACTATGAGCTCAATCTAATGGATGACATTTAACTGAGGGCAAATGTAAAGTCCGACATTTGGTTTAAAAAATTTCAACTGCACAAGTATACAAATGGTAGATAGGCCAAGATATCAATTCTGGTAAAAAAAAAAAAAAAAAAAAAAGACCTGGGATTTCTGTAGACTAAAATCTTAATATGAATCAACAGTGTGACATGGCAGCAAAAAAAGCTAATGCAATTTTAGACTTCATTAAAAGAGGAGATGAGAGCTAGAGTCAGGCAAGTGGGTTCAAATTGTGGCTCTGACATATAACATGTGACTGATTATGGACAGTTGGTATGAGCTCTACATTCCTCATCTGTAAAATTAGGATAATAATGCCTGAGCACGTATCTCACAGGATAGTTGAGGATAACACTACAAAATGTAAGTAAAGCACTCTGTACTAACACACCCAGTAGTAACTAACCTTGTTCCACTGGGCCTGAGAAGGTGAACTAGGAGCAATGGGAAGTTTCAAGGACAGATTTCAGTTCTGCATAAGGAAAAACTTCCTAATAACTACAACACTGCAAAAGTGGAAGGGACTGTCCCGGGAGATAACATAAGAGTGCCCCATCACTGATGATCTTTAGGCAGAAGCTGATGGGCACTTGTTGGAGATGTTGTAGAATTTTTGTTCAGGTACTGTTTGATCCAGATGACCTTTGAGGTCCCATCCAACTCTAAAGTTCTCTAAGTTAGCATGCAACTTCTCAAAGTATCTGTGTGAGATACCATGGACCAGAAGTCTATGAGCCAATGAAAATCATACCAATAACTGAGGCATTAAGTTGAAAGTACTTGCTTGTGTCTAAAATGGGAGTTATAGCATATAAATGGGAATTACGGGATATAAATGTATATAAATATATAACAAAAAACAAAGTGTTTTTTGGGTGATTAGTGGTTTGCATAGATTTTTCCATATTTCCTAGTATTCTTCATATTTATCCTTTTATAGCACCATAATATTCCATTACATTAACATATCATGATTTATCACGCAAATCACATTTCAAAGGGTTTTAGGGGAAAGATAGAATTTCCAATGGACTAAAATATCACAGAGGAAGACAAGATTAGAGGAAATGCAAAATGCTCAAGAATGGCATTTTGAAGACAAAAAAGAAACAATTCCAACAATGAAGAAAAATGAGATTTGACCAATGAGGACACTCAGGTATACGTAAGGTGGATTTTAGTGTGTGTAAGAATGATTTTGTTATTCTTTTTTAGATAATAATTCCCAGGATCCATAGCTAAAACAATCTCTAGTTCCCAGGAGTTCACGTTAAAAACTATGTCTACTGTGACTACGCAGTGAGATACAGGGATGACAATGTAATATTTACTACTCTCGCTGTGCTAAGTTATGATATTACTGCTAAAGTTAACCTGTGAGGCTATTGTAGGCAAATTGCCTTATTTGTGTGCTTCTCTGTAAATCAAGAGAGCACTGGTCAGTGAGGGGGGATTTGGGTAATGCACAGGGAATGCATGTGTGTCTGCCTCAACTGGCCCCCACTGAAGCTTAGGGGAATGAGATAGGAGTTGTGCTTCTACTTTGTATGTTCTTGCCGGCCCCCGCTAGAAGAATGATTAGAGAATGCTGTAGGAGTTACTGCTCCCATTATCAGCTACCCTCTTAAAAAGACTAGACTAGAATAGAGTAAGCTTATTTAACCCCTGTCCTTCTGCTGCCCAGATCAAGAGTGAACCTGTTAGAGGCTGGAGTCTCCTGTGCCTCCTGTGTTGTTATTTGTGTTACACCAGGGAATTCATCAACCACTTTGACTGTGAAAATGTAGAAAAGATAAAAGCAAGGTGAGGAAACAGGATGGATATAAATACCAGTATAAGGGATAAGGTGTATTATAGTTTAGAATGAGTGGAAGCAGGCAAGAGAAGCTAAAGATAAGGGTTAAAAAAAAAAAGTTATGCTGGAAGAAAAAGGAGGACGAAAGAAGGCAGAGGACCTTTGCTTGGTATAAACGGCATGATGACTGGCAGAGTTGCTCATTTTCATTTTGTTTCCGTTTTTTCCCCTGTCAACTGCACTGGAATGACTAACAGGAAGCTAATGCCCAAAATAAGTAAAGAGAGCACAAGAAAGCACTTAGATGCACTTGATAGATCCAAGTTACCTGGTCCAGATGAACTAACTACATTCCTGGAAGAACAAGCAGACAAGCAGATGTGATTACTGAGCCACCATAAATAATATTTGAAACAGCACAAAAGCAAGACCGGAAGAAGGGCAA